AATATTAACCTCCTCCCCCAGCATTGGTGATCAGTGGCAGGCTGGAGCAATAAAATAACCTTGCAAAATGGATGTTCATTGTTTACTTACCTGAGCATACGCTCCCAAGCAGCTACCTCTATACCCGCCAGCCGATAATATACTTCTACGTTTGGACACAGATCAATCTGCATGACAGTACTAGGTACTTTCACTGTTGGGTGCTGAAACACAGAATGTGGTCCAGCATCTGCCACTGCTGGCACTCTGCATGTCCTCGGCATCTTTTAAGTGGTGGTTCCCTCTGGAGCACTCTCCTGCCCCCAGGAACACCAATGTCTGTATGCATTGCTTTTTTGGCAAACGTAACTGGTAGATGGATATATAAAACCAAATATCAGCACTTTCTTTATTGTAATGTGCTTCAGTCTTCCACAGGCAAACTGGTGGTTACTCTTCATCAAACTGAACATGGATTTTTTTCCATTAGGGAATAGTTTCTTGTAGTAAATCAAAATAAACACATCTCTTGAGGAAACTGGGACATGGCTCCACCAAGATAAGCCATAGACCTTCTTTTCTCAAAAAAAAAAAAAAGATACTATGAACACAGTACAGTAGAGGCACCATAACATGCCTCTTCATACCTATTTAGTAACAAAAATAGTCCCCAACAGCCTTTCTGTGTATAAGGCACTAAAACCGCTGCATCCAGCAGTACAGTGCATGGTACCTCACCTCAATAACCAAACAATAGATTTCAGACACTGTTGCTTGCATTGGCATACCTCAGCCAACTTTCAGAAAGTGGGTATTTGCCTTGTACATGCTGTGAGCTGCATTGGTGCGAGGGGGAACCTGTTTTTTCAGCACCATGGTCATTGTATTATATTATTATATTGGTGTCATTTAAGAAATTCAGAGTGATTTCAAAGATTTCTGAAGTGCTATAGACGTCTGACAATAGTTTTAGAAACTTGAATTTGAATGTTCATTGGCACGTACTGAAAACTGTGACAGTCCTGATGGGCCCAGCAAAAGCCCAGTCTAGTGTTAAAACATCTATGTAATGGAAGGCTAATATCTGCCTCTTACTATGCTGCAACATATCCTACCATAAATTAAATAGCTAGGCAACAGTATACAAAGGGTTAAAGTGAAGCTCTTTGCCAGTAGCCATAACAAGTTACTGTAACCTAAAACCTACAAACTATAAAAACAGATTAGCCATTTAACAGTCTATAAAATAAAATGTTTCTCTTTTTTAGAAAACATTTGTTCTAAAGTTATATTATACTGTATGTTATCCAAAACACAAATCCACAAAAAAAGACCTAAACAGCTTTTTTGTTCCAAAATTAAAAGAGAACTATGGGGGGTAACCTTTTTATCCCATAGTGCTCTTTAGGGTCACGGGAGGACCTATACCAACCTCCTCCTGTGACCCAAAACTCAGTATATAGCAGGCTATTGCCTGCTATATACTTAGCGCGATGCAGCCGGGAGGGATCCCCAACAGTACTATCAAGATCCCCCCAGCTGCGTGAGTGACAGCGGGCTCTGCCTATCTAGCCAGCTGTACCAGCCCCCTCCCCCATCTGTGCCTCCAGTCAGCTGTGGAGGGGGGAATCTCTGCGGGAAGCCATGACTGATAGTCTCTGCAGGGAGATGATTGGGGAGTCAGCGAGCTGCGGTATGTGTTCGCTTACTTCCCGATCTAAAGAGCCGGCCTGTGACAGTCACACGTTGGCTCTAACTATGAGGATGAGTGTAAATCACTCACCTCATAGTTATACTTTAAATATACTCTTTGTCCCTGCGTGATATTGTGTATCCATATTACCCTGAATTGTGATCATGCTGTGAGTACACTGTACATACCATTGGCTAATATCAGCAGGGTTGCTGCATTGTTGAACGAAGTCCAGGTCAGAGGCCTTTTTCCCAAATGATACCGGAGAGGTTATAAACTCTTACGTAACTGTACTACCCCTGCTTTATACTCCTTTTGAAATATTTAAAAGGCTAGTCTTATCTGCTTGCTAAAAAAGATCAATACCTGAAGCTCAAATTTATTCAGAGTCAGAGGATTGACTTAGTCCACTCTCCTGCCTGCCTGCTCTGTTCAGATATACAGAGTTCCAATTAGAGGCAGAGTCTGAAGGCAAACCACTTCTGCTGTGCTCCCTCCCTCTTAGAAAGCCCATAGTGCTCTGTGAATCTAAGATCATGGCTGTTCTCTATATTAAATCTTGAGCTTTGAACCAAAGTTGTTCTATGAATGGTAAAAAGAAAATCAATTTAGAAACACATAAACATAAAAAATAAAATTGACACAAAGCTCTTATAGTCTCACTGTAGAGAAGCCATACAAGAGGAAAAGAGGGACAGATGGACACATTACTCGCAGGGGAACGGGTCATTTTACTAAAGGAGGGATATTATTAATGTATAGGACTGCTTCAATATAGTTATAATATCAAAATCATTTTTTCCAACGGGGTATACTGCATGTACTGCAGCAAGCGCTGAGCAAATTGTTGGCGCTATATAAATCCTGTATAATAATAATAATAATAATGCCCTGAACCTTACTTGTTAGACACAATGATAATGCCAGTTTTTTTATCTGCTATGATGATAAGTTTTACTATACTAATTCCACTTTTGTAACTTCACTTATTTATACATTTACACACAGACTAATCTCTCCAGTGTACATGACAATTACTAGGGCTAGGACAAACGATAAAACTGCTAGGGTTGTCTGAACAGAAGCAGCAAAACAAAAAGGCTTAAAGAGGAACTCCAAGATTTTGAAAGTTAACCCTTGCAGTAGGGCTAGCCCACACTGCAAGGGTCAACTGCTCGTTTTCATTTAGGGGCCCGGAAAAAAGAAGATATACTCACCTGATCCTCGGTGGTGAAAACTCACGTCTCACCCCCTCCGCTGTGGCATGTCTCTCAACATTCTCACGTTTCATACAAGTCAATAGACTTGCATTAGGCATGATGACATCAGCGGGGCTTAGACTGCCAGAGCCAGGGGAGAACAGGCTGCGGGGACCGTTCTAGCAGCCAGGTGGGACACAGGATTAAAGGAAAACTATGAGGTGAGTGCTTTTCACTCACCTCATAGTTCTAGCCGACCTGTGACAATGAGACTGTCAAAGGTCGGCTCAGTAGATCGGGAGGTGAGCGAACACATACAGGTGTTCGCTGACTTCTCAATCCTGTCACGGCTCTCTGCTGGATTCCCCCCTCCCCGATCCGCCAGCGCTGACCGGCGGAACGGACGGGGGAGGGGGCGGGTACAGCTGGCTCTCCCTCTAGATATGCAGAGCCAGCTGTCACTCATGTCGGGATCCGCTCCGGCTGCGGCGTCTCAGTATACTGCGAGCTGTAGCTCGCGGTATACTGAGCTTAGGGTGACGGGAGGACGCTAGTTTGTGTCCTCCCGTTACCCTAAGGAGAACTATCGGGAAAAGCACTGACCCCATAGTTCTCCTTTAAGTAAGCATATCTTCTTTATTGCCCCCACCCAGACAAAACGAGCAATGAACCTTTGCAGTGCAACGGTAGCCCCACTGCAAGGGTTAACTCTTCAAAGTTCTGGAGTTCTACTATAAACCATGGGAATATAGGTGGCCACAGTAGTGTTATAGTTTGTTTCCTGTCATATCATTGGGCAGCAGAAGCTCTTGTATTTGTGAACAGTTAAAAGACAATGAAGGGCTTACTCTTCACTTGGCTTGGAAGTTCAGACCCCATATACAGTTTAGGCCTAGGTTCAAGAGCCCCCATAGGGATCCCACGGGGGACTTTGCATTGCAGTGCTGCACTGCAACTGCATGCCAAGTGCTCCTTTTAACTGCAGGGGTCGCATATGGCAAGCGTCACCACCTTCCAAGCATAACATGCTGTATTAAATTAGATGTGGCACGTGTACAAGCCCGAGAGACCACCATATTAAGTTTTAGGTGGGTGGTTGGGGACAGTAAATTTGTGGGACAAACGCCTGTTTTTGCCGTCCCTTTACCTCCCATATAAATGAGGTTTATGATCTCTAGTCTAACAAAGCTTTTAATCTTTACAGTCACTACCTGGAACTATGTCATCCTTGCCCTGGCCTTCCTTGGGTTGTTCCTGGGCCTGTTTCTTCTGAGCAAAAACATCTTGAACAACAAGTAGGTTTATAATATTTGTAAGAATCATGTCTCTTACGCATGTCAAGCAGCTTGCGTAATACTCTATGAGAAGTTTTTATTCCTTTCTATTCACATATATACGTGTTTCCATATTATAGAAAGAGGAAGATGATCGCCTTGTATCAGATGAGGATGTCTGGGCAGCAGCCAGAAGAATCAGATGGTAAGCAGGCTGTGGTGATTTTGGAGAACGACGATCCACCAGAAGAGTACAAGGCCCTGAAGAACAATCCTCAGCCAGGAGACATCGAAGTACAGTGGAAGGACGGGCAGGTCACATCGCTCTTCAGACAGTTGCCTGAGGAGGATGTGTAAAAATACATGGACGTATTTTTTTCGCAGGCCAATGGAGCCCACCAGGCTGGCAGTTTTGATTTGCAGAGCAAGGTTGAAAACAATGTCATATAAACAGCTATATTTTATTACAGGGAGGCTATGCCTATCCTGCTCATTATAAGCCGTTCCAGAACACCCAAATATTTAGATTTTAAAGGACAATTCCAATTCTAGAGGAATACACATTTACAGCAACACAAAGGACCTAATTTTACTTGCTTTTCAAAAATGTTTTGCTGCCCCTTCCAGAATATTGTGCAAATTAAGGAAGTCATACTTTCTGACACGTGACAGTTAAGTGTACTGAAACGCTGTTTGCTTACAGGAGCTTTGATTGACATCAAGTTGTTGCTGAGATTGTGATCCACAACTTATGACAAACTCGGTTTTAAACATTAATTATGCAGTAACACACATCTCAGAAGTGATAATTCAATACCCTGTTATTCAGCAACAGGGAAAGACATTAGATGACATCACCTGTTAAACTGTGTTTATGTCTAATGATGTCCATAATGCAGCTCCTAAAGCTGGCCATACACCTATAGATTATCTGCAGACTTTCTATGGTCAGATGGAAAAAGTGCAACAGATTCCTCCATCTACGCTAAACTGTGTGGATGGAGGAATCTCCCACTGGGCTAAGCTTCAGTATCTTGCTAGTCGGATCCCGCTGGCTCTCAAAATACCTGAACGATGCCTGCATCCAATCAGATTGTTCAGGTATTTTGACAGCCAGCGGGGCCGACCAGTAAGATACTGAAGCTTGGGCCAGCAGGAGATTCTTCCATCCACACAGTTTAGCATAAATGGAGGAATCTGTTGCATTTTTTCCATCTGACCACAGAAAATCTGCAGATAATCTATAGGTGTATGGCCAGCTTTAGGCATCTCTGTAGTTAAATTTATTTTTGAGAATTGAAAAAATTGGAGCAACTACGAGAAAACTTTGAAACATATCTTAAAGGAAACGACTGTTACAGACATGGGCCCCACTTATAATGCAAGGATCGGAAGAGTGTAAAATAAAAAGGGACTTGTATCAGAATGCATTGGCTCTTACTGAAGTTCTTATTTATTCATGTGTGACCGTGTAGGCATTTAATGCTGAACTCATATCAGCTTATAACATTTACATTTGGTGCTCTCATTCCCCGAGTGTTACTCCCTATTCTCAGGGGCTCTATTTTTAAACAAATCGCATAGCTTATTCGTCCACCAAAACTGCAGGTACATTTGTTCTGTGCAAGTGAAACAGCTGTTGTGAGAATGGACTAAAAATCTATGTTCTCAGTGTATTTTCTCTTCTGGTCGAATGTTCTTCAATAGGTCGATTTACAAAGAACAGAGGGAGTAGGGAAAATACTACATTATGTCCACTAGATGGAGCCGAGGATCATAGGAAATCATAGGAAATAAATACATGTTAGTAACAAGATTCAGTGTTACAGTTGTAGAGACCGCTGATGAGAATGAGCATATAAATTTAAAGTGACACTAAACTCAGGAGTTGAATCTTAACAATAGATTCAAGTGCACTAACTATTAACATAATTGTAACCTTTTTGTATATCAGTTGGCTGTAGATCCTCAAATCATCCCTGAATTGGTGCTGACACTGTTCTTCCTTCTGGAGGGGGGCTACTTTTGTTCCTCATGGTCCATGTGTTGTAAAGTAGTCACTGCTCCAAGCTCGCTCCATACTCATCTCCTCTTCAGCACTGTTCCCTCAGACGCTCTACTGTGGCTGTCCACTCTTCTTCTGGATGAAAGGACAGCCAGTGTAATTTAACCCACTTTCTGTGAATCCAGACTGTCGGTGCCACACCTCCTGAGGGTACGCCTTCACATGAAAGCGGCACTAACACATCACTACACAAGATATTCTTCCCATCCCATCAGTAAGTACCACCAACTGCTGCCCAGGAGAAGAGAGAGGAAGGACCCATGGCATTGTGGACTGGCTAGAAGAAATCTGACATTTCTGTACTTATGTGCAATTTTTTAAAAAATGTATGAGTTGGGGAAGGGTGGGGGGGGGAGCGAGGCTGCGGAGGAAAAGGGAGCAAAACTGTAGACTGCCTTTGCTGACCTCTCCTTTTTAAAATGCTAGTTGCCTGGCTGCCATGCAATAACCTCAATACTTTGAGCCACTGTCCTGGAGCAAGCATGCAAATCAGAAGCTTTATTTGCCAAATGATTATTCTGGGTCAACAACTCGAAGTATAAAAAAACAGTGGCGGTAAGGTATCTAGCATTTTCAGAAGATAATGGCAGTTCCATTGTTCCTGTCCTCACAGGTTTCCTTTAATACCGTGTTTCCCCGAAAATAAGACTTACCCCGATAATAAGACCTAGTACTATTTTTGGGAATTGCTAAAATATAAGACCTACCCCGAAAATAAGACCTAGTTAAGACCTTTCCCAGGGCTGGTGGTGGCATAAGGGGGAACTTGAAGAGCCGCGGGAGAGAATCAACAGTGCCAACGAACCAGCGCTAGAGGAAGTGAGGCGTCAGCAGAGGGAGCAGAGCCGCATAAGCCGATGCTTCCTCTATAGCGCCGGCTCCTGTCACAGGCGGAGTGATACCAAATGCACTCCGCCTGTGAGGAATCGATAGTGAAAGCACGCTTCGCCCATTCTGGCCAGCGATTGGTTACCAAATTGCTCTTGGAAAGGTACGGCACCCCTGATTGCCCTGATCACCCTATTCTTAACTTTGCCATTTTGGATTATTTAATTTGGATTTGCATTAATTTTGGATTGTTGTACATTAAAAAAAAAAATAAGACCAACCCGAAAATAAAACCTAGTGTTTTTGAGCCAAAAAAATAATAAGACAGTGTCTTATTTTCAGGGAAACACGGTAGCGTGTAAAATTACCCAAACTGTAATGGGTGCCAGAACTTCCAATACCAGTGAGCCCCAAACTTACAAAATTATGAAAAAACATCACTGCAGATCTTTGTTATGGCCCCTCACTTAATATTGGTTCCTGTTTCAAAGAAATTCGGATCCGAAATTCGTTAACGGAATTTCGTTTTTCGGATATAATTCCGAATCTGCAATTTGGTTTTCGGATGCTTCCGAATTTACGAATTTCAGGAAAATTCGTACGAATTTCGATTCATAACGAAACGAATCGCACATGTCTACTCAGCTGTAGATCCTCAAATCATCTCTGATGTGCTGACACTGTCCTTCCTTCTGGACGGGGGCTACTTTTGTTCCCCATGGTCCCTGTGTGTGTTGTAAAGTAGTCACCACTCCAAGCTTGCTCCTGTGATGGACTAAAATCTCATGTCTAGTTTGCTAATTTGTATTGAAGTTATAGTCAATCACAGGAGCGAGCTTGGAGCGGTGGCTACTTTACAGTACAACACACACAGGGACCATGGAGAAGAAAAGTAGTCACCCTCCAGAAGGAAGGACAGTGTCAGCACCAATTCAGAGATTATTTGAGGAACTACAGCGGAGCGATACACAGATAAGATATATTTTTGTTAATAGTTAGGGTACTTGCATATATTTTTTAAGATTTAACTCTTAGTTAATGTCACTTTAAGGCACATTGTTTGCAACAAAATGACAGGTGCCCTATAACTTAGCACTATCTAACCCTATACACTTTTGCCATGTGCCATACTATATGTCTTACTATTATCCACAGACGCTAGCTGCTAGTAATGTTAAGATCAAAATTTCCACCTTCAGGAATAAGATCTGTAATAGCATGTGATGAAACTCTTTTTATGTGCAATATACAATAAGCTCCCATTATTTCATACAGACAACATTTCAGTTAGTCATGTCATGATCTCTGAACATTGGAAGACATTACAGAGGAAACAAAATGTGTGGATGAAACATTTTAAAAAATTAGAATGAATGCATAAAGTTGAGATCTCTGTGTATGATGCATCTTCACTCCTGGCTGCTGCTGTGTATAAAAAAGCTGGCGGATGAGGAAGTTCTAGTTGTCAGAAGTTCATCAAGATCCATCAAGTACATTCCACACACTGATCAGAAGTCCAGCGCTAAATGCAGCTCTTTGATAACAGTGTGGGATGTGAGGTTGGCAACAGGAGTAGTCTAAACATCTGGATAGCACATCATCAAGTCTCTGGCATTCAGTACCATCATGCAGTGCAAAACCGACATGTTCTTTGATGATAAGCTGACCCTGTTCTTCCCAAATCCAGTAAGATGCACAATTGCAACCTGTCCTGTATATGGCCTCCATAAAATGCATTGTTTACATTTAAAGGTATCATGGACCTAAACATCATCTTTATTTCCACTGTCTTCCAAGTAGCTGTCATATGTAGCTCATGAATAAATAGACATATCTGCTTGGTCAAATGGACATCATGGGGAGGATGGTATAGAAGAGCTGTTGCAATGTTCTTCAACCAGCTGTCCTGCACTGCATTGTCAAGTTCAAGATTTAAAAATAATAGGTCATATACAGTCATTAGCTTCAGACCATGGCAATCTTTAGCTATTCTGCGATCCAGGTCATAAATAGTGATTAAGGACACTGTACTTCATGCCAAAAAGAGGTATGGCCTTTTTATCATTAAAAAATCTTAAACCCCTTAAGGAGGGTCAGCGTGGGTGCCTTACGTTTGCTCTGGGCTCTGGATGATTTCACGGTAACAAGTTTGGCTTGAGCCACAGAAGGGATCTCTTTGTAACTTAGTGGAGAAAGGGTGCTTAAGGTAGGCATGCCATGACGGCTGGACGTTGCAGAGGAGGACAAGGGAGGTAGACCAAGCAGCGCCCTTTCTTCGCTGATGTACAATGGAGGTCTAATATGAGCAGACCTGTCTGCATCTCTCCTCACCTCATGTATAGCATCATGAAACACCTGCTGCACCAATCGGAAATCCAGGCAAGCAGACACCTCCCGAAACAGGCAGCCATGACGGGAGGCAAGAGCTGAACCATCTGCTTTACTGACCTGTCTGACAAAGGACAAAGAGTTGTTAATACTACTAAGTTACACTGTGCATTAACTAAAGCATGTACAGTAACAGAAGTAATTTTGCTTTTTCCTATTTGCTAATACACATAAGCCACACTTCATTTGTCATTCTTTCCTCTTCTGCATTCTAAACATATTTTCTACTAAGCTGCATAATAACTTGTCAGGGTTTTGCATATTACATTATTCAAACAGAATTTTCGTAGAATCCTCTCTTCCTATCCTTGTCATAAAACTAGCTTTCCAATTATGTCAGAGATAGTTTATTATTCATTATTTTTGCACTACTAAATGTATTTCCGTTCATGAACAGTATAATTTAAACCTGAATTGTATCTGAGTTATTCAGAACACGTAGGAAGAAGAGGCAGAGTGGGAGCTGATCATGGATCATAGGGAGAAGAAGCAGCGTGGGAGCTGATGATGGACCATAGGGAGAAGAAGCAGAGTGGGGGCGTATCATGGACCATGGGGAGAAGGGGCAGAGTGGGAGCTGATAATGGACCATAGGGAGAAGAAGCAGAGTGGGAGCTGATCATGGACCATAGGGAGATGGGGTAGAGTGGGAGCTGAATAGACCATAGGGAGAAGAAGCAGAGTGGGAGCTGATCATGGACCATAGGGAGATGGGGTAGAGTGGGAGCTGATAATAGACCATAGGGAGAAGAAGCAGTGATTGCTGATCATTGATCATTGAGAGAAGAGGCAGAGTGGGAGCTGATCATGGACCATAGGGAGAAGAGGCAGAGTGGGAGCTGATCATGGACCATAGGGAGAAGAAGCAGAGTGGAAGCTGATCATGGACCATAGGGAGAAGAAGCAGAGTGGGAGCTGATCATGGACCATAGGGAGATGGGGTAGAGTGGGAGCTGATAATGGACCATAGGGAGAAGAAGCAGAGTGGGAGCTGATCATGGACCATAGGGAGAAGAAGGAGAGTGGGAGCTTCATGGACCATAGGGAGAAGAGGCAGAGTGGGAGCTGATAATGGACCATAGGAAGAAGAAGCAGAGTGGGAGCTGATCATGGACCATAGGGAGAAGAGGCAGAGTGGGAGCTGATAATGGACCATAGGGAGAAGAAGCAGAGTGGGAGCTGATCATGGACCATTGGGAGAAGAAGCAGAGTCGGAGCTGATCGTGGACCATAGGGAGATGGGGTAGAGTGGGAGATGATCAAGGACCATAGGGAGAAGAAGCAGAGTGGGAGCTGATCCTGGACCATAGGGAGAATAAGCAGAGTGGTAGCTGATCATGGACCATAGGGGGAAGGGGCAGAGTGGGAGCTAATCCTGGAACATAGAGAGAAGGGGCAGAGTGGGAGCTGATCATGGACCATAGGGAGAAGAAGCAGAGTGGGAGTTGGTCATGGACCATAGGGAAAAGAAGCACAGTGGGAGCTAATTGTAGACCATAGGGAGAAAAGGCAGAGTGGGAGCTGATCATGGACCATAATGAGAAGAGGCAGTCGATCATGCACTATAAGGAGGAGAGTCAGAGCGGGAGCTGATCATGGGCCATAATGAGAATTTTCGTATAATCCACTCTTCCTATTCTTGTCATAAAACTAGCTTTCCAAATATTTCAGAGATAGTTATATTATTCTTCTTTTTTTTTTTTTTGCACTACTAAATGTATTTCCGTTCATGAACAGTATAATTTAAACCTGAATTGTATCTGAGTTATTCAGAACACATAGGAAGAAGAGGCAGAGTGATAGCTGATCATGGACCATAGGGAGAAGAGGCAAAGTGGGAGCTGATAATGGAGCACAGGGAGAAGAGGCAATGATTGCTGATCATTGACCATAGGGAGAAGAGGCAGAGTGTGAGCTGATCAGGGACCATAGGGAGAAGATGCAGAGTGGGAGCTGATCATGAAACATAGGGAGAAGAGGTAGAGTGGGAGCTGATCATTGACCATAGGGAGAAGAGGCAGAGTGTGAGCTGATCAGGGACCATAGGGAGAAGATGCAGAGTGGGAGCTGATCATGAAACATAGGGAGAAGAGGTAGAGTGGGAGCTGATCATTGACCATAGGGAGAAGAGGCAGAGTGTGAGCTGATCAGGGACCATAGGGAGAAGATGCAGAGTGGGAGCTGATCATGAAACATAGGGAGAAGAGGTAGAGTGGGAGCTGATCATTGACCATAGGGAGAAGAGGCAGAGTGTGAGCTGATCAGGGACCATAGGGAGAAGATGCAGAGTGGGAGCTGATCATGAAACATAGGGAGAAGAGGTAGAGTGGGAGCTGATCATTGACCATAGGGAGAAGAGGCAGAGTGTGAGCTGATCAGGGACCATAGGGAGAAGATGCAGAGTGGGAGCTGATCATGAAACATAGGGAGAAGAGGTAGAGTGGGAGCTGATCATTGACCATAGGGAGAAGAGGCAGAGTGTGAGCTGATCAGGGACCATAGGGAGAAGATGCAGAGTGGGAGCTGATCATGAAACATAGGGAGAAGAGGTAGAGTGGGAGCTGATCATTGACCATAGGGAGAAGAGGCAGAGTGTGAGCTGATCAGGGACCATAGGGAGAAGATGCAGAGTGGGAGCTGATCATGAAACATAGGGAGAAGAGGTAGAGTGGGAGCTGATCATTGACCATAGGGAGAAGAGGCAGAGTGTGAGCTGATCAGGGACCATAGGGAGAAGATGCAGAGTGGGAGCTGATCATGAAACATAGGGAGAAGAGGTAGAGTGGGAGCTGATCATTGACCATAGGGAGAAGAGGCAGAGTGTGAGCTGATCAGGGACCATAGGGAGAAGATGCAGAGTGGGAGCTGATCATGAAACATAGGGAGAAGAGGTAGAGTGGGAGCTGATCATTGACCATAGGGAGAAGAGGCAGAGTGTGAGCTGATCAGGGACCATAGGGAGAAGATGCAGAGTGGGAGCTGATCATGAAACATAGGGAGAAGAGGTAGAGTGGGAGCTGATCATTGACCATAGGGAGAAGAGGCAGAGTGTGAGCTGATCAGGGACCATAGGGAGAAGATGCAGAGTGGGAGCTGATCATGAAACATAGGGAGAAGAGGTAGAGTGGGAGCTGATCATTGACCATAGGGAGAAGAGGCAGAGTGTGAGCTGATCAGGGACCATAGGGAGAAGATGCAGAGTGGGAGCTGATCATGAAACATAGGGAGAAGAGGTAGAGTGGGAGCTGATCATTGACCATAGGGAGAAGAGGCAGAGTGTGAGCTGATCAGGGACCATAGGGAGAAGATGCAGAGTGGGAGCTGATCATGAAACATAGGGAGAAGAGGTAGAGTGGGAGCTGATCATTGACCATAGGGAGAAGAGGCAGAGTGTGAGCTGATCAGGGACCATAGGGAGAAGATGCAGAGTGGGAGCTGATCATGAAACATAGGGAGAAGAGGTAGAGTGGGAGCTGATCATTGACCATAGGGAGAAGAGGCAGAGTGTGAGCTGATCAGGGACCATAGGGAGAAGATGCAGAGTGGGAGCTGATCATGAAACATAGGGAGAAGAGGTAGAGTGGGAGCTGATCATTGACCATAGGGAGAAGAGGCAGAGTGTGAGCTGATCAGGGACCATAGGGAGAAGATGCAGAGTGGGAGCTGATCATGAAACATAGGGAGAAGAGGTAGAGTGGGAGCTGATCATTGACCATAGGGAGAAGAGGCAGAGTGTGAGCTGATCATGGACCATAGGGAAAAGCTGCAGAGTGGGAGCAGATCATGGACCATAGGCAGAAATGAAGAGTGGGAGCTGCTCATGGATCATAGGGAGAAGAGGCAGTGTGGGAGCTGATCATGGACCATAGGGAGAAGAGGCAGTGTGGGAGCTGGCCATAGACCATAGGAAGAAGGGGCAGAGTGGGAGCTGATCATGGATTATAGGGAGAATAGGCCGAGTGGGAGCTGTTAGTGGACCACAGAGAGAAGAGGCAGAGGAGGAGTCAATCATGCAGCATATATGATGTATGAAATACACAGGTCCAAAATGACCCATTTAATTCACTGTAAATGTAAAACAGGCTAGTTTAATACAAACTGGACCAAATGACTTACTAATGTTAATATTTGCCTACCATTTCTTTATCATCATAAAGGATTATGAGTACAGCACATACCCCAAATAAATATTACAATGGGCAGAAACTAATATTTCATCACAGGAAAAGCATTTCCAATTGCTTAAATTGTTACTCCAGGCAAACATCATAATACACAGTTCAAATAAAGATATGTTTCCTGTATTACCTAGCAATAGATTGTTAATAAAAATAGCTATTGTTATGATGGCCACACCAAAGCACGTCAGTAAGATCTCTCTGCTATTTCCAATATGGCAGCTGTCCAGCAGATCACTTTGACAAACCTGTGTAATAACATGACTGGCTATATATACAATCAAAAATCATTTGGCAGCTAAAACAGTAAACATACAAGTATTTCACCTTAGTATTTGCTGTTTGCCTGAAGTCCTGCTTAAAAATAGGTAAAAACATATCTTAATACCTGCTACATGGAACTGTCACATTGGAACAGAGGAAGTAATATGAAATAGGCAGTGTACTCTGTAGAAGAGGGCAATCAAAAGGTGGAGATTCCAGATAGGAAAAGAAAGGCAGAGAAGGGAAAAAATAGAGCATTGTGTGTTAATGTATTAAAGAGACATTGCAGGAATAAAAAATGCTGCTGAAGGAAGTATCAACTAATCTGAAAACAGAGAAATGCTAGATCAGCCTCGGTTCAGCAAAAAGACACCTGCCTTTATATTGTACATGGACATTGGACACCAAGTAAAGATAGGGCATTGCACGCTGTTACATTGTAATTCAAGAAACTTGTTATTTCAGCAGCTTAGCAAAATAATATTCACAATAATAACAGAAATTCATTCTAGAGAGTACTGAAGGAGGAGAGGAGGATGTAGCTTATCCTGGCCCATAAAGTTTAGAGGACCAAATCATACAGTAAGTAACAGTCCCTATTATTTATTCAGTGTACTTATTACTGCATGTGATAATAGTAAAATTTGCCAAACATCACAACTTTTTGTTTAATTCTTTAATAGTTGATGCTCAAAATGTAAGATTTGGTATTGTAACAGCGGTCTTCTGTTTATCATGTTTTGTTGAAGGATCAGCACTATATAATTTCCCCGTAAATAGAGGGATGCCTGCAAACATGTGGGAAAGCTGGCAGCCAGTTGGACAATTGGCAGAAGAATTCGTTCCCAAAAAATATATCGATTTTCAATAGCTGGCAAAGTTGGGAATGGCAAAATGCACATTTAAAGCAAGAACTACATGGTGCAGGCCAGGGTACTTTGTATACTTAGAGTAAAGGCCTTATAAAAACAGTCATGGAAACTAAGGGTGGGAAACCAACCTTTGGGTTAGGATTCAGTGATGCTGATTTCTGCTAGCAGATTATCCCAAGGGAAAGCATGCTTCAAATTATTACGGGGTGTAAACATAGTAAACAGGAGAGGGATGGAAGAGGGTAGATTGAAAGAGAGTAATGGAGAATAGAGTAGAGGGCTAGGAACCAATTCCCCAACCACCCACCCCATGCCAGACATGCTCAAGTATAGATTCAATGAAAGGAAAAAATAAGTTGTTCCATCTGTGGGACAAATGTAGTGCAACCAACGTTGTCATGGAAAACAGATTTATTTAAATGTTTGTCTCAGGGAATGTCCATAAGCTTTGTATTTATTAGTGTTCCCTTCATCCAATTTTTGACTTCTTGGAAAAGAGGGTGGATGGTTTCCAAGCTTTAGGTATTCTTAGCTACATGGCAGCAAATATACGCAAAACCAAGTTCCGTTTTCTTCTAATGAGGTCAGACTCTATTGAGAAGAACCTCCAAAGCATTTTTCCTCAAGTTCTTAATATTTTCCAATTCTTACATAAGCTCTGCAATATTATGTTGATAAAATGGTATACATGTTTCGATAAATGCTGCACTTTTGGGCAAGACCTCCAAATGTGGAGCTTATGCCCTCATTCTTGACTTTTCTGAAGCACAAAAAGTAGGTTTAGGCTAGGGTGAGAATGCAGGGTGGTATTTCAAAAGGAATGAGGGTCAATTATTATATCTTTGACTATTTATGAGCAAAATCATTAAAAACTGTAATAAAGGGAAAAAAATAGAAAAGTATAAAAAGGAGAGTGGCGTAGAGAGAGGGCACTGAGAAAACTGAGAAGATATACAGTAGGGTGAAAAATACTTGGATTAATTACCTGCTGTGACATACCCACAGCCATGAAGGAATTACAGATATCAGATAAGATGTTTTGTATTGGAAAGTAACTAGGCAGTATATAAGGTTTGATACCTGTACCGTTCCATGTCAAGCTTGTTTCCTATAAGCAGAACTGGGCTCTCATGTACTGCTCCTTTGTTGTACTGAGAGATTATCTCCAAGTATTGAAGACAGCCCTCGAAGCTCTTCTTGTTATCAATGCTGTACACGACTAGAAAAGCATTAGCCCAGCTTAAATACCGTTCAGGATTCACTGGCCGGTCCTAAGGTAAATATAAAATAATATTTAGCAAGGAACAATTAATACATTTGAAAAATTATAGTATGGGAAACAAGTAGAACAACTTAACGTAAACTTGTCTGAAGATAAAAAATGCACAAATGAACCTTGTATATTTATAGAAGGCACCACCCTATGGTTGTAGAACACACTTAGAAATGTCCCCATTGTTCTCCATGTCCCAGAAGTCAATGCAAATTTTGACTTTTGAGAATGTCAAGCATCAACACACCTCCACTGCATTCCACAGTGCAATGTGGGTGCTTCTCAATACAGTGTTGGGACACCTGCATTTCATCAGCGGAATGAAGTGCCTGGGTTCTAATTCTTGAAAACCTAGAAAACTTTGGAGGGGTCTTCAATAGTGGTGCCTTTCTAAAGTTAGCTAAATTAATCTGCACATAAAAGGTCCATATGATTCACACTGGGAAGAGCTAGTGTGATTAAACTGTATTGCACTGAAGGAGCTTTTGTTTTTGGTGTGTTAAAAAAGTGGATTCGTTTACAAAAAAGACTCTTCTAATAAAATGTACTGCACTAGAAAGGCTTAACATATACCTTTTCCTACCCCAATATAAAACTAGTAACCTAACACTAGACATGCAGGAATAAGGACAGGATGTAAAGTTCCAAAAAAGTGGGTGGGATACTAAGGGAATAGAGAAGCCAGGACAACCTCAGAGGAACAACTGCTGGATAGGCATGCAAAAGATGTTAAGCGTGTATTGATCTTCAGTTGCATATAAGGTCAACACTGTCCTGTAATGAAGCCCAATTAGTACAGCTCAGAGGAGGGCATCGAAAAGGCATTATTAAGGCCTGGTTTATGCTGGCTAAGTTATTTAGGTAAGCGGGATCTGCAGGCACAGGATTGTGCATACTATAAACATATGAGATTAATTTACTAATTTTATTCAAAGACTGGTTTCCTTTAAAGAAGACCAAACAAAATTACATATTGTTGGAAGGGTGTGTATGTGCCAAGTGTAAATGTTAACCATCTCTGTACCTCCGTGCTACTAGTCCACCAGGTAAAACTCCTATGCTGAGCACTTCCAGGACTAAAACTCTCATTCCCCGGACTTGGCAGTGGATTTTGATATTGTGGAATTATAAAATATTCTGGTCAAAGATTCCTCAGCCAAGGTCATTGGGTTTGAACAGAAATTGCACATCTCATGCTCGGATTGACTTGTGCATATTCTGCTAATACGAAGAGATCCTTAAGGTTTTTAACTCACTTCAAAGGCCCCTTTGAATCTGACAAAGAATGAGCTCAAAAGATTCATTGTCTGGCACAGGAGCATTCTGTCCTACAACCTGAGCAGAGTGTACCAGATACCAGGCTGTTTATGCCCACAAAGCAGCATTTGTGTACAAAAATGCAGAGAACGTAGTTAACCCTCCATCCATCAGACAGCCTTCTTGTTAGGAGATGAGTGCTATGAAGCTTCTGAAAGACAGCGACCCGTCTGTCCCTGTAACTATGAAGACAGATACATGGCATGGCAGAACATGTGTTATGATGGGAGAAGGGAAAGGATAGGAGGTGGTAATGATGAAAACAGGCAAGTCACCACATGGTACAACCTTGTCATGTGACTACCTTGTCATGTGACTTTACTGTCAAACTGATAAACAGTATCTAATGTGTTATGTTCAAGGGTTTTCCACCCTTTTGTAACTAATCACAATCATTAGAGTAGCTTATTGTCTCTTTAACATGAAGATAAACCACAGGAAATTGTAGGCCCTTTAAGTGGAATGATGAGCAAAATTAAAATTATATACTGTATATGGTGCAGTCTGTCAGAAGTATTATTACCGCAGGTTTTGCTTTTCTGAGTGTTCTATGTTACATTATTTAATTACCTCTTGATCCTGCCAGGAGATTTATTTTGTTTCCACTTCTTTAATTGGGTCAAACTGTTCAACAAACCCTTTGAAGAAACCGTATATCACTGACTGATGTGTTTACAACAGCTCATATGGTTTAAACCCGAAGAAAGAGAAAACTGTTGCTCTAACTGCTTAACGGCATCCTCCCGACCTGTGAGGGCATTTAAGGAACCCTAGAAGCAGGGTGGGCTTGCATTTCACCTCAGGGTCTGGTCCTCAGCAATAGTGGAGCAATGTGAACAGATGGGTGCCATTCACCTTTGATGCAATCAAGGACTTTATTGGCTCTTATTCAACACTCCTGATGGAGAGGGTTAGGGCACAGGACACCCATGGACTTCAAAAGTATGGTAAGCATGAGGAGCTATTCAGGCTCTGCTGCACGCAGGTTTGAAGACAGTAGGAGAAAGTAGAGTGTTGAGTCATTGCTGCAGCTTCTTCCTTACCCGGTCATAAGCTGAAAGTGTGTTCTGTGCAGTAGACGTCAGGGACCTAACTATGCCATCTGGAAGGGATTTCTAAATCACAGAAATGGCTCCACAAAATGATAAATCCTTCAGCCAGCAAATCACCTCCAGTATATAAATGTTTTTTGGCTATGTTTGTATCTACTTGCCTAGAGTTCAGCTTTGATTCCTAAATGTTTCTTATAGATAGACATAGACATTAGATGGTGGCTGAAGGTGAATGTCATGTTATATCATGAAACCTTTTAAAATCAGCAATAGCAATTCATGTGCATCAACTGTTGACTTGAGCATAAAATAGAGGCTCAAAAATATCAATAACCAAACTAGTCTGAGCAATCTTTTACCTGCATCAATCTCTCAGCATTTTAACTTACTTGATCAGCTGTGTCCATTACTCGTACAAGAACTGGCTGATGGTCTACCACTTCTTCTGAGTTGTATGTGTCCTCTATAACATAAAGCAAACATGAAACGTGATGTAAGGATTTTGATTTTCAGGTATAATGTATATAACTACTACTACTTACTTCATTGAGTGGAACGGCAGAATTATTATTTTTTTGTTCATTTTGAAGAGACCAAGTATGGTTTAAAACTATTTTTTTGCTGTCTTGTCTTTACTGGTCAGATGTCCAGACCCAGTGACCTCTCAGGACATAAGGAGAAACCACCCCAACAGGGACACGAGACAGCAAGGACATCCTGAGGAAGTGAGAGGAACAGGAGTACTACGCAAAAAATTGGATTCCAAAGGTATTTATTCCATTCAAAATTGAATATTTTAGGACTCCAACATTTTAGTGTGGCCCTCCTGTTCTTTTCACTTACTCCAATACCAGTCTGAAGCAGCCTTGGCAGATTTTCTAGTATGCGAGATGCCTGGCCAGTGCTAAAACACTGCACAATACCACTTCCAAAACACCTTTAGAAGTAGAATTTTGCATGTTCCAGCGACATTCACTTATTTCTACAAGCAAGGACTTCATTGCAGATGTTCCATTCCCTCCCTTTACTTTATTGCTGGCTGTAGTCCTGGATTCTTTTCTCTTCCCCACACATGAGGTTCTAAACCTTTCTCACGCTATTCAAAAATAGTTTTGGTTGCTGTTCTAATTTTATGTACTTCTCTCTTCTGGGGATTTATGCTCTGAGCTAAAAAAAAAAGTTCTCTTTAGTTTTAGTACGGGGATCCCCCACTATGAAAAAGGAACTCTCCTAAGCCTGTTATGTCAAGTGTACAATAATTTACTGTATATGTAATACAAACTGAAAAATGCTCAGTTAGCTCTTGATTTGTCTTTATAGGGAAAAAGTAATGTGGGGACTGTCTGTGCAAAATATATAATGAAAACAACATGACATTCATAATATATTTAATTGTTAAGTTAAGAATTCCTGCTAATTTTTAGAAACTAGTCAGCTTTGGCAAAAATTAAAACAAAATTCCTACACTAACATGTTCTGAGCCCTTCCAACCTGAGATTTTGCCCCCAACAGGACTTTGCGCCCAAACACCACCAAGGACTTTATTGGTGGTGTTTGGGTGCAAACAGTCTTTTAACAGGACTGCACACCCACAGCAGTCCTGTTAAAAGACCACTACCACAAAGGTTCTCTATATATTTAGTGAAAGTGTATTTAAAGTATATAGTACCATTTCCTAAATATGCCATTTATTACACGAAAAATAGTTTTGGGTAGTATATATTTCTTTTATTAAAGGTGGACTTAACATCCTAATGGCTCCTTAGATGTTAAGGTAGTGGGCCCTAAACTGCAGCCAGCAGGCCGAATACACCAACAAGGGACATTATATCTTCCAATTATACCAACGGTGGGGCACTATTCCTCCCACTGACACCAACCATGGGGCAATATTACTCCTCCAACTAACCACAGACACAAGGATATTTTTTTTTCCCACCAGCCACTAAGACTGCTATATTGCTTACTCCTACTGGCCACAGCAGGCACCCCAAGGTCTGATAGACAGTGAACTGGCCCTTTGTTTGGAAAGTTTGAGGACCCCTGTGTTAAGCCATATGAGACGTGGTGGCTAATCTACAAACCTAATACAGTTCTAATCCCCTTTTTTAACTTACATTAATGGTACCTTATATTAACATATGTAGGACTAAAGTAACTCCTGTACTCCAGGCTGGACCTGTAAAGTTGTTATTGCCTACCATGTTAGAGGAGAAAAGGAGATAGTTGAAGAGAGGAGAGAAACATTGGGGGGAATTTATCAAAACTGAAGCAGACAAAAACTGGAGCAGATGTGCATGGGAACCAATCAGCTTCTCTCTTCTCTCCTCTGCCAATCCCTCCACTGGCTTCCACTCGCCCAGAGGATAAAATTCAAAATATTAACAGTCACTTATAAAGCCATCCACAACTCTGCCCCCGGATATATCTCAGACCTTGTCTCAAAATATCACCCTAACCGTCCACTCCGCTCTTCCCTAGACCTCCTGCTTTCCAGCTCCCTAGTCAATTCCTCCCATACTCGCCTCCAGGACTTCTCTAGAGTCTCTCCCATCCTCTGGAACTCTTTACCCCAACCTGTCCGTCTATCTCCCACCCTGACTGTCTTTAGGCGTTCCCTGAAGACTCTTCTCTTCAGGGAAGCCTATCCCACCTCAACCTAACCACTGAACCATCACATTCTCAAACAATTCATCCCCACACAGCTACCTCCTCATGTATCATTTCCCCCTCCTCTTTCAGATTGTAAGCCCTCAGGGGCAGGGCCCTCCTTACCATCCTGTCTTGAATTGTATTGTAATTGTAATGTCTTCCTTACATTGTAAAGCGCTGCGCAAACTGTTGGCGCTATATAAATACTATGTAATAATAATATTAATAATAATTTGAAAGTGATTGAGAGAAGCTGATTGGTTTCCATTAGGGATGGGCTTGATGCTCGAGATGAGCAAGAGTTCGACTCAAACATTGGCAGTTCGTGTGTTCGGTGAACACAAAAACTGTCATGGCGTTTGGCGGGCTCTTTGCCCGCCAAGTGCGCCACAAGGCACTGCGCACCGCAGAGTGCCTTGTGAGCCCTGATTGGCTAAAGCCTTGCACCTGACCACAGGTCAGGTGCAAGACTTTGCCCAATCAGGGCACAGAACTCTGTAAGAGCCATGATTGGGCAAAGTAATGATGGCTTTGCCCAATCATGGCTCACCTGTCAGGTGCCATACGACTGTACACAGTTGGGCGGAGCTAGCTAGCCGTCACCGCTATCTCCGCCCAATAGTTTATATTTTGCCAATATGGGGGGGGAGAATGAGGGAGCCCTGCCAGGCCTGTGCTCGGATCAAGGTTCTGGTTGGGAATTTTAGGGGGACCCCACGTTTTTTTTTCCCCAGGGGTGAGGTTCCTCCTTAAAATTCCTACCAGACCTTAAGGGCCTGGTATGACTTTGAGGGGGAACCCCACCCACTTTTTTTTTTATTGTAACTTGGGTCTTTCCTTAAATTCCTACCACACCTAAAGGGTCTGATATGACTTTTGGGGGGAACCCCACACCTTTTTTTTTCTTTTCTTTTTTTATTGATACATGTCACCCAGGGCAGCACCCAGATCCCCATACATACATTTATGGCCAATAACTTGCATATAAGCCTTCAAAAAGGGGACATTTGATTTTCAAAGTTCTGGTTCCATAGACTTGCATTGAGTTAGAGTTCAAACTTTTTGCATGTTCTAAAGTTCGAATTCGAACCAAACAGGATTGGCTGAGTCGAACAGCTTCTTCACTTCGGAGAGCATGGAGAGCATGTTCGGCTGACCGTAGCCAGCCGAAGTCAGCCGATGTATGGCTGAAATCAGCTGTACGGGGCCAAAATGAATAGCCGAATGGCGTTCGGCTCAGTTCTCTCCAGCTCGCTTATTCACTCGGCTGCCTTTGGCAGCTGAGTGAATAACCCCCATAGTCACATAATCAGTGTATGCTAGGGTGACCCTAGAGACATTTTGCTACTACATATGCAGATCCCCTGATTCAAAAGACATATGGAAAGAAAGACAGAATACCAGGGAAACATTTAATCCATTTAACTAAAGATGAATGTGTTGGATTGAATTCTTCAGCTCTGACACAAATGAATTATATTTCCTTGCAGAAGTGAGAAAACATTTACTTCACAGCCTGTCTGGGCACTTGGAGCTTTTAGCAAGTATCAGGAAAAGATTCATATCTCTTTAATCTCTGCCATTAATCAGCCCTGATTCCTGACCAAGTCCTGCGTCTTGTCACGTTAATGAAGACAATTATTCCCATAAGACATAGTCCAGATAACTCTTCATGTCCACAAACACTCCAATATCTTTGGCAATGCTTTCCTTCCAAATATAACACATTTTCCAACTTAGATGCAGCAGCCATATTAAAAGGGCTCCAAGTTGAAGGGAAGACAACCTTAGTTGGAATATAACAGAATGGAATTCTTCATTATGATAATGCAGTTCAACAATTCAAAATGGCTGGCAGTTTTTAGACATAATAAGGAAAACTGTCATGAGAGAAATATGGAGGCTACCATCACTGACTTCCTTCGGAAAATTCTAGTTGCCTAGCTGCCCCTGGCTTTTATACAGTACATAAGAACTCCTGATCTGCTAGAAGGGCACGGTGGGGTCCAGGGGGGCACTGCAAGAGGATGAGGTGTCCTCTGTTAGCTTGGGAAAGGGGTCCACTGCAGAGGGCCTAGGGGGCACAGTGGGGGCTGCAGGGCCTGCAGCAGGCTGGGGGCTTTGTAGACAGCTGGGAGCTCTTTGGAGGCTCACATGGTATATATAAGGTAGCTTGGGGAGGGCACTGCAGAGGGCCTAGGGGGCACAGTGGGGGATGCAGGACCTGCAGCAGGCTGGGGGCTTTGTAGACAGCTGGGAGCTCTTTGGAGGCTTGCATGGTATATGTAAGGTAGCTTGGGGAGGGCACTGCAGAGGGCCTAGGAGGCACAGTGGGGGCTGCAGAGTCTGTACCAGGCCGGGGGCTTTGTAGGCAGCTGGGGGCTCCTCAGGAGGTTTTCCGAGTATTTGCAGGAGGGCAAATACCTTCCACCACTTACTTTTCAGACACAAGAGGTGAGCAATGACAACACTAGGGTTACCACCTGTCTGGGATTCACCCGGACAGTACGGGTTTTAAATCTTGTGCCCGGTTTTCAAGTCAGCTGAAAACTGGACACAAGATGTAGGCAGACAGGGGCAACCCCCAGGGTCCTGCTCAGCCTGATTGTGTTTGGCCGTCGGAGACTTAATATTACACCGGCTCTGACAGCTACATTCAGCAGAGAGCACAGAGCGGCCCCGCCCCCATCACCAGCCGACATCAGATCTGCACACAGGGAGGGGGGGGACTCACAGGAGCCAAACTGAGGACTCATCTGCCATCATAGGGGTAAGACAATACTTATATGAGGCGCCCAAGTCCATTGCGTT